TTCTTGGTTGGTCAGGATTTTTGACATGACATTTTGACATTAAAGTTCATTGACAAAATTAAAGAAGAATATTGCTAAGACATACGTTTAAAAAACCATATCAATCTTTGATTGGTTTTTTTTTTTGAAGACCCATAGTTGTGTTATTGATTCATAACCTAGTCCATAACATCACTAGTTGTGTTATGAGCTCATAACCTAGTCCATAACACCACTTGTTGTGTTATGAGTCTCATGACATAACTCAAATACTAGAAAAATGGTTATGTAAAAACGTCATAACCAAACGCTTGTAGATAAAACGTTGTACATCACACCTGCGTTTGAACATGACTACAAAAATCGTGCGATTAAAACGACTCGGTCTACGACCTCGTCGTTCTAATCTTTCACACTCGTTATTGTGATCATGTTCATAAATGCACTTGTAATGTTAATAACTATTCCATTACACTTTCCACGGTTTTAAATCCATAAATACGACTGATTAACACTAAAAATCACAAAATTAGCTCTATCCTATCACTTCACAGCAACACTGCCAAATCCGTTATGGATGACATAAGTCACATAGGATCACCTGATTGGCTGCTCGTACATGCAAAGTTGCCGATGTGCCGTTTTTCAACAATACTATCTTATTCAAAAAGGCATTTAAGCTATGTTTCAACAAAGATTGATACAAAAACGCATTTACATTATGTTAAAACATATTTTGAAATAAGAATTATCCGTGAAGACATTTAATATTGAGAATCACATCAGATTATTGGCAACCAGGCATTTCATGCAAAAATCGACCTTATGGATGTTGGATCGCAAATTATGTGTTTATTGTTCTATCTGTCGTTTTCAATTGTTAATCTGTGGTTTTTTGCTTGAAATTTATTAAATAATGGGATAGTTTACAAGTGATTGACGTAGTTAGTTTTTCCAATCTGGCAACACATTACGATTTTGAGAATGCACAATTGACGTTTTGCTTGGACGCCATATTGCGGTGCGCGAACATAGTTGCAAAATGAAGAAAATAAAAATTACTTGCGAGCTGTCAACATTAAAAACAAAAGTAACTAAATGATTAATCCTCGCTATCCTTTTTGTTTGTTTACTTTCTCTCTCTGATTGATGAAAGACAATGAGAGTAAATAGGTAGATACTTTATTATTTCTATTCTGCTCAATACAAGAAAAAATTGATGGCTTTTCTTTTCAAAAACATTCGTAATAGGCGGCAAATTTAAATTTCAAATGTAATTTATTCAGTAACTTTTATTTTTAATATTGACAGTACGCAAGTAATTTTTTTTCTACTTTTGGCAACTATGTTCGCTCACCGCAATATGGCGTCCAAACAAAAGGTCAATTCGCATTGACATTGACTGTTAAGAACGAAACGTCAAATTTAATACATCAAACAACGTAAACAAGTTACTGTGACAATGTCACATGTCACACAATTCACACGACACCACATGTCGTTGAACTGTTGAAGTCAGCTGTCGTTTTGAGGCATTTTGAGCAGCATTGCCAGATGGTCAGCGGCTCGAGTACTATTGGTCGCCGCTGCTTTGGCGCCAAATTTAAATTACAGTTTGTTTTTCTCTGACTAATTCCATTGGCACTATGCTGGAAAATAATTTAGTATCCCATTATATCATCATCATTTAGCCTTTAGAATAATGTCGAGCAGTTTTTTACTGATTTTCATACATAGTATACTACCCCATTAAATACCCAATCAACACAAGCTCATTAGAAGAATTATATGTAGGTATCTGATTTCAAATGTTGTCGAATTATTGTATCGTTTTCTTGAATTTTATCGAGTACAAACTGATTGAGATGCAAATCAGTTTTCTCTGACGACATGCCCCCCCAAACAATAAGCGAGCTTAATATCGGGGATCCGCCATATTGATATCACATCCGACACAAATTGGCTCCTATTGACAAATCGTCTGCAACGTTTTGAATACTAATAGGGGAAATTCTGTTTATTAATATGTATATTTGTTGGCAGAAGAGAAAATTGCACTTTGTAGCTTGGTATAAGAAGTCAGTTGATTGAATAATGTGCCACTTTCAATTTGTTGTTGATAGGCAAAGTTTCCAATTAGTAAATTTATATTAATTATTTAGAACCAGCAATCAAAAACGATTGACTAAATAATTTCAACGTGTAATTTGTAAGTCAAATAAATAAACCTAATATTGTGGCCGGTATAGAGTGATAAAGCAGGAGTTCGAAATGGAAATAGAGAAGAGGGTAGCAATAATTACTTTCGACATTTATACAAGTACTGTTTTCTAATTACGTCTGTAAAAAATCCACTTAAAATCCAATAACGTTTAACAAATAAATCGTCTTTTTTTTCCCTAGGTTTGTTTGCTGCGGGTTGCATTTCGCTCAACCCCCCCTAGGGAGAGGGCCCGTGTTTCTGTTTATTTTCTCGATTTGGGCTCCGATTAAACCGAGAATAGAAGTAATTAGTTGAAGAAACGAAACCGCGTTGAGACGTTTTAATCTTTTTTAAATTGAAGGCACTTTGAAAAATCATGTTTTCACAACTATTGTGGAAAATGTGGAAGAAGTACAAATCTAGCAAATTTCACGTCATTTGGAATTAAAGTTTCAGAAAAAGCTCGATGGATACAACTGAATGAGCGATTTAGTGAAACAATGTCGGATAATCAAAATTTGTCAGGGAAAAAAATGTAAAAATCAGTATTAATTTTTTACCCTAAAACCTCGAGATGAAAAATCACCAGTATGCTTTTCCACTAAATTTTACCCCCTCTTTTGATTGGTATAGTCAAAAATTGAAAAATTTAGAAAAATCAAAATTAAAATTTTTCTAAGGGGTATGCAAGGAAATTTCATTTTCAAATATTTCGAAGGGTCATATTTCAAAAGCGAGAAAAGGTATCGATACGAAATTCCATCCAATTGTAGATCTCGATTGAGGCTTCAAAAAAGGTTATTTTGAGTGCCGAGCCTCAGAGCTTCGTTTTTGAGATAACTGGCTATGAAGATTTTCCAAAATTTGAGAAAAAGTTTCAACTTTGAGGCTCAATATCTTAAGAACTATTTGAGATAAATGATTCAATTTTATTTTATCTTAAAGAGCATTTAATTCTGATTCAGAACATATAAATATGTGTTGGAATATCTAGAATATTAATTGAATAATGAGCGATTTAGTGAGACAATGTCGGATAATTAAAATTTGTCAGGGCAAAAAATGTAAAAATCAGTCAGTCCCTAAAACCTCGAGAAGAAAAATCACCAGTATGCTTTTCCACTAAATTTTACCCCCTCTTTCGATTGGTAAAGTCAAAAATCGAAAAATCTCAAAAAATCAAAATGAAATTTTTCTAAGGGATATGCAAGGAAATTTCATTTTCAAATATTTCAAAAGACCATATTTCAAAAACAAGATAAGCTATCGGTACGAAATTTAATACAATTGTAGATTTTGGATTGGGGTTTCAAAAAAGGTTAGTTGGGACACCGAGCCTCAGGGCGTCGTTTTCGAGATAACCGGCTTTGAAGGTTTTTCAAAATTTGAGATAAAGTTTCAACTTTGAGGCTCAATATCTCAGAAACTATTTGAGATAAATGTTTCAATTTTATTCTATCTTAAAGAGCATTTAATTCTGATTCAGAACATATAGATAGGTGTTAGAATCTCTAGAATATTAATTGAATAATGAACTGATACAGGAATACCTACTATTGATGAAAGGACCAGATTTTAATATTTTCAAACATTTTGATTTCAGATATATTTCCATGGGTATTGTAGGTACTTGATTGAGATGGCTGAGTAACTTGTTACAATTGTCCAACATGAAACATGACCATGAAAGATGTCTTTTAAAACGTATCTTACATTCAAATTAGGTTTTATGACAAAAGCCATCTTACGGATATCCATAAGATATTTCTGTTCTGTTTGGGGAAGTGAATGTCTTGGTGTGTTCTTCTAGAAATGTTTCGTGATTCAGAATCTCTTCGCTGATTAATTTTCATGACCTAGTTCTACCAGTTGCTTCTTTATTGTATTAACTTCTTCAAAAATCAAGTCCATACTTGGAATCATGACTGATATTTATATATAATCTCTATTACTGGTTTCCCTTTTAATTCCACAATCAATATCAATGCAAAGTATTTAGAGTGTCAGCAAATATAAATTCATTATAATGTCTACCGGCTAATCCTCTTTTAGAGCCAGCTCTAGCTTTGGGGGCTGCGCTCCAAATTGTTTAAGTGTGTGGGATTAAAATTTGCTTTAGTCCTCTTACCTTTTCCCTATCCTAATGGGAGGATCCCCCCTCTTTTAATAAGCCTAATCTTTAGCCGCGGTATTTAGATAATGGTTAGAGCAAGGAACTTTGAAATCTGAAAAAAAAAAAAACACATAAATGTCAGCTAAAAACATTTTGTCTACCAGGGTAGTGCTATAACTCAGCTGGAAAACATTAACTTAATGAGTTTATTTCGTCTTTTGTCTTCTCGACAATTAACTAGCGCGCCATTGTACTAAACAGGGGCGCTATTATTAACTTGTAGAGGTGACACTATTAAAGGCGCTCCGATAGATTGAACTCGCTTCTTGCTTCTTGACTTTCCCCCCCCTAAGTATAGCTTTTCTATTGTTTACCTTCAAGCTTCGATCCTATATATTTGAACAAGGGAAACTTCATTTAAGTAATAGGAAAATTTTCCAATACAGCTCAGATATTAGATTTGGCAATATCGCAAAAGTACCGCATCAAAGAACCCCAGGTGCACCTTCGCGAGAACCAGATTTTATGTAAGGCGACTTTTTTGCTGATTAAAGGACTCGAAGAATCGCCGGGCAATAACGAGCAAAAACAATGGCGCATCGCGAGCTGCGAGGTAGTACCGTAACTTTTGAATTGGAAATATGTATAATTTTTCATTGAAGAAATAAACTTTACGAGTTAAAATATCTACAATGATATATGAACATGTTTTTTCTTGTTTCAGGTCGAAGTCATGACAAATCCTTCATACTGTTTCGCCTAGGCAAAAAGTCATCAGCTGGAGTGAAGTCCTTCGCCGAAACTGGAAGGAGCGACATTCTGGAACAGCAATCTCAAGGCGAAGGCGGAATTTACGATGAATTTAACGCACCGCCGATCAATTCCGGTGTAGGCAGGACTGAAGCTGAATTTTTCGTCGATGGAAATCATTCTAGGGTAATTATCCACATTCTTGTATAATTCCTCTTCAAGTTCAATTCAAAATTTACTTTTGTGTCGCATCTTTCTATCGAAACAGCAAACATGGTCGCGAAATCGTAACAATTAGGGAAACTGACGGATAAGGTTCAGATTACTCCCCTCCATATTGTATATATGAACAATAACGATTATGATGGTGATGTTTTTATGAAGAAACGCCAATATATTCCCTGAATATTGTGAATATATTATATTATACCTAGCTGTATGACGTCAACCAGTGCTGCCATAATTTCAATATTGAATATGTCACAAAATACATTGTTCTTTGATTAAGATCAGATGTTTGTGCGAGGTGTTAAATGCGAGCGTGTAGACTCTTATTATTATTGAATAAATATTGTGACTGGTTCGCTCAGGATGTTAATGAAATGAATATAAATTTAACGGACGAGAGGTCTGTGACATACGGACATGGCTAGTGGATGCCATCAGATTTTCATGGCGGAGAAGTCAAGACAGAAAACGGCTTTCGTCACTCCGGATGGGCAATAAATATATCTCCGTATGCCATTTGGTTTGGTTAACGCTCCAGCAATGTTCCTTTTGAAAAGCATTGGAATCAACTAATGGTTTTCCCCCCAACAAAACCTCTCTGTCTATTTTAATATTTCATATTTGATGAATTATTATTATCCCCGTCAAAAACATAAATACTTTTGTCCCATTCTCGCATTTCTATTTTTAATAAATAAATATTGGCTATCGATTCAAAATAATTCATTACCCGTTAAAATACAATACAATTCCGTACAGATTATTTATTGCCTGGTAAATTCGTTTCGGCTGCTGCAACTTTATTATCGTTATTATTATTATTATTATTAAAATATCCCCTTTCTTTGTTATACGCATTTCCTATTGTTGAATATTTATAACTGGAAAACATAATTTGTTTTAATTTTCGCATGTTGTATTTTTATTATTTCAATGGGGGGCAACTTTTGACATGGAGATCAAGGCCTAAATAGATATTTTACATTATTGTTAAGCCAGGATTATTTTTTCAATATTCAGTTTTTGATTGTTTCCTATATACATTTTAGGATTTTATCTCTGCTATAACCCAAAATTATTTTCAAGTATACAGAGTGTCTCAAAAAAGAGTAACCACAAATTTTATGTTTTTTTTTTTTTCAAATGGAATACCGTATGTTTTTATGTGGCAAATGAAGCCTCTATAGGCTCTGTATTCAACATTAAAATGGTATTTGGATTGAATACAGCGTTGCCAAGTTATAATTTTTCGAAGAAAAAAATAGACCAAAACATACTTTTTTAAATTGTCATATCTCCGCCACTGTACATCAATTTCCCTTAAAAATTTACATGTAATCTAATGTTAGCCTAGTTGCTCCTACACTATTTTCATTTTTCGATTTAGGTATACAGGGTGTCCAAAATATTTGTCTAAACACGGCGTATTTTAAATTCTATTTTAATTGAGTTTTTCAAATATAACACCCCGTATATTATTTTTTATCGAAAAGCTGTTTCAGTTTTTGAGATATCTTGATTTTCCCTTAACATTGCAAAAAAAAAACGGTAAAAAGTAAAGTAATTTGGTAGTTTTACCTGGAAAGTTTTTCAAAAGTTTTGAAAATTTTATAGGTTTAGACGTGATCTTTCCAAATTTTCACTTTTCCTCCTCGTATATTTTCTGCTCACGCCGCCATATTGGAAACATTCCGCCTAAAAATAGTTGTTTGAAAATATCTCTTTTCCTATACTCATTTTACGATGAAAATAGTTTCCCTCGGTAAACCAGTGGCGAAGAAATGACAATTTTTGAAAAGTAAGTTTTGGTCAATTTTTTTCTTCGAAAAATCATAACTTGGCAACGCTGCATTCAACCCAAATACGAGTTTAAAGTTCAATACAGAGCACATAGAGGCTTCATTTGCCACATAAAAACATACGGTATTCCATTAAAAAAAAAACATAAAATTCGTGATTACTCTTTTTTGAGACACCCTATATACGTGAAAATAATTTTGGGTTATAGCAAAGATGAAATGCTAAAACTTTTATACAGAACACTTTTCCATAAGTTCAACGGTTTGGCTACTATTGACCGAGGCGCGCCTGTTGGACTACCCTGTATATAGTCCATTTGAAAAAGACGCAGAGTAATAAATCATTTTTAAAGGTTCTTTTCATAGACGTGCAGTGAATATTTATGCGAAAGGGTTTATTGTTCTCTGTCTCTTTTTCAAATAGACTATAGAAGAGTTGCTACATCAAAGAATTAATTATTCGATTGAAAATTCCCGGCACTTGATTCAAATCACGAGCCGGCAATAATCACAAATTGAATATTGGGGTCACCCATTTTGTCTTGATTTCTTTGGGACGACCGAAGATTATAAGGCATATACAGGAAAATCCTACTTGGAGTAAGCTAAGTGATGGAAATGTAGTGTTGAGAAACAGCAAACTCGGGTAAATCCTGCTCTAAGGTAGGAACCCTTTGAATAAACTAAGACGGACACACAGGAAACTGTAATGTGAATAGAAAATGGAGGACTAACTTGGACACACAGGAAACTATAATGTCAGCACAAAAATGGAGGACAAACTTGAACATACAGGAAACTGTAATGTCGGTTTGTGTGGAATATTCCAGAAATTGTGGGTACAATATTTGAATGTGGCAAAACATACACACACAAATAATGCACATTTACATACTGATAATGTCTCGCGTTCTATGTATAGTTCATTGATCTACATTCACAAAATTAGTCCAGAAAGTCATTGGGGTGGTGGTTCACTACAAAACCCCAGGCCCCACGTTGGGCGCCAAATGAAGAGTATAATTTCTAAAGGGTCTAAGTGCCAACATGAGAAAAATACTACAAACATGCTTACATAAAGTTTTGACTTACATCCTGTACCATCGTTAAATCATTATCAGAACCAAATGCATGTATTGTTGCCACATAGACCCTTTTAAATTGTATTGGGGTTGAAACTTGGAACCATTTTCAAACATTATCCCAAAAATTATCGAGATGGCACTTAGACCCTTTAGAAGTTATACTTTTCAAATATGTAGCGGGTATCGCAGGGAACTCCAACACTATGCAAACTTGGACACACAGGAAACTATAATGTCGGTTTGTGTGGAATATTTCAGAAATTGTCGGAACAATATCTGAATGTGGCAAAACTTACATAATTCAGTCAGTTTATGCACATTTATACCGATAAAGTCTCGCGTTTTATAGTTCATTGATCTACAGTCACAAAATTAGTCCAGAAAGTCATTGGGGTGATGGTTTACTATAAAACCCCAAGCCCCACGTTGGGCGCCAAATATGTAGCGGGTATCGAAGGGAACTCCAACACTATGCACTACACATGTTTTTTAATGATTTTATTCAACAATTTAACTGGACAAAAATACAGAGTCGGCAAAATAATAGCAAGAATTACTGATAATTTATGATAAATTTGACAACTTGATCGGGCTTGGAGTAAGCTAAGTGATGGAAATGTAGTGTTGAGAAACAGCAAACTCGGGTAAATCCTGACAAACAGGCGACTGTAATGTAGGAACCCTTTGAACAAACTTGGACGGACACACAGGAAACTGTAATGTGGGTATAAAATGGAGGACAAACTTGGACACACAAAAAACTGTTATGTCAGCATAAAAATCGAGGACAAACTTGATCACACAGGAAACTGTAATGTAGGTTTGTGTTTAATATTCCAGAAATTTTGGGTACAATATCTGAATGTGGCAAAACTTACATAATTCAGTCAATTTATGCACATTTATACCGATAAAATCTCGCGTTTTATAGTTCATTGATCTACAGTCACAAAATTAGTCCAGAGAGTCATTGAGGTGGTGGTTCACTACAAAACCCTAGGCCCCACGTTGGAAGCCAAATGTGTAGCGTGTATCGAAGGGAACTCCAACACTATGCAAACTTGAACACACAGGAAACTATAATGTCGGTTTGTGTGGAATATTCCAGAAATTGTGGGAACAATATCTGAATGTGGCAAAACTAACATGATTTAGTCAATTTATGCACATTTATATCGATAGTCTTGCGTTTTATAGTTCATTGATCTACAGTCACAAAATTAGTCCAGAGAGTCATTGAGGTGGTGGTTCACTACAAAACCCTAGGCCCCACGTTGGAAGCCAAATGTGTAGCGTGTATCGAAGGGAACTCCAACACTATGCAAACTTGGACACACAGGAAACTATAATGTCGGTTTGTGTGGAATATTCCAGAAATTGTGGGAACAATATCTGAATGTGGCAAAACTAACATAATTTAGTCAAATTATGCACATTTATACCGATAGTCTTGCGTTTTATAGTTCATTGATCTACAGTCACAAAATTAGTCCAGAGAGTCATTGGGGTGGTGGTTCACTACAAAACCCCAGGCCCCACGTTGGGCGCCAAATATGTAGCGGGTATCGAAGGGAACTCCAACACTATGTAAGCTTGGACACACAGGAAACTATAATGTTGGTTTGTGTGGAATATTCCAGAAATTGTCGGAACAATATCTGAATGTGGCAAAACTTACATAATTTAGTCAAATTATGCACATTTATACCGATAAAGTCTTGCGTTTTATAGTTCATTGATCTACAGTCACAAAATTAGTTCAGTGTGTCATTGGGGTGGTGGTTCACTACAAAACCCCAGGCCCCACGTTGGGCGCCAAATATGTAGCGGGTATCGAAGGGAACTCCAACACTATGCACTACACATGTTTTCAATGATTTTATTTAACAATTTAACTGGAAAAAAATACAGAGTCGGCAAAATAATAGCAATAATTATTGATAAATGATAATGAATTTGACAACTTGATGACTGATTGATGACAATTGTCAGACATGGTATAGTACTATGGCGTCATAAGTGTAGGCGTTACATTATTGAAAAAAGTTAGTTATTTATTTAATCAAAATCGATTCTGACGCCATTTTGTCGCTCTCCATTGACAGAAAAGAATTTAAAAATCAAGTAGGCGAATTTATAATAAGTATAGTAACATTCTCGAAGAGTTTATTCGTTATTAGTAATTTCTGATTGGTCTGCCTACATGCGATTTAGGTACCTTATTACCATTTCGCACAAAATACGTAAATTCGAACTTAAATATATGGATGGAAACTTCAATATTCAGTCACTGATATAGAGAATTCTCGCATCTAATTATTTATTTGTTCTAGGTGTCTCTAATGAGTAGAATAGTCCCATCGCCTGACTGGTTCATTGGAATCGACAGTTTCGACCTTTGCGTCAACGGTAATTGGCTGGACAGCATAACGGTCGAGGTAAGACCCCAATTTTTCAATTATTAGTCTCCCATCTCGATTCAATTAACTATGGTCGGAGCAATAAATTAATTAGACCGCGTCATTTAGATAATTGAACCGATATGAGAGAGTAATTAGTCAAATTGACCTGTTAATAATCGATTTTCCTTCAGGTGGATCCTATCGATGCCGGAACAGATAACGGGTTCACGTTTACCGCTCCTAATTGGCCCACGGAACCTCAGGGGGAAGCTTACAGGATCACCGCTCAATATCCTGCTCATCCTGCGGGATCGTTTTTCTATCCTTATTTGAAACGATTACCTCCGATAGCGACTTTCCAGTTTATCAAAGTAAGTACCTACACCCTATAACTTCACCTCAGTCATATTGAACATAGGTACCCAGAATACGATGACAGTTTTTGAGAATAGGTATAGATTAACTATTAATTAATTAAAACTTCATAAAAAAGGCGGCTCAGTTGATCTCTTTGAAGTCACGTGGGAATCCATAGGCGTCTAAATATTATTATCATGACAAATGAAAACAAATTGGTTGATAAAGAATAAACATACTCCAGATATTTCTATAAAAACTGAAATGACGAACGCCATTGCCCGGAAATTCTAGCTGATTTACTTCTAGAATACAGTGGAGTTAATACATTAAATAAATGGGCAAAATTCATATAGTAGGTAATCCTTAAAATTACGTTTTAAACTATTGAAATAAATCAAATATAAATGTTTGAATGGGAATATTATTCCTTTATTAAAAATTCAAATTTGAAATTGATTTTTATTCAATTATCTGTGTAATTTTATACTTTTGTCCACTTCTAAAGAGAATATCTCACACTGTCAATAAGAGCGGCTCAGCTTTGTCGGCAAGCGATAAAGCCCAGCGGCATCGCCGACAATTTTCAAGTTTTTTTGCCGGCGTACGGTGTCTTTGTTATAGTGTACCAGGACTAGGCATAAAAATATAAAAATTATTTTATATTAATATAAGGGGTATTTTTCTAATTTTGAGTAGTCACCATAGAGATGCGATTTTCAATTGATAATGGTAATACTTTACCTACTTAAATGGACTTTGATAATGTCGGATTTTGGTTAATTGGCGACTAGAACTTTTGATACAATTGTCGTCTTTTAAGTGTCATGTTAAATAAATTGCACTTTGTTAACGTAGTACCGACGTTGGCTGTACGACTTTCGTTGTTTGAAAGTAACCACGCGACCTCGAACCGACTGATTTAAAAATTTGCCTACATAGTTATCTATACCTTAGGAATGTATATTATCTCTATTCCAGGCTCTTGAGTTTGTAGGAATGGAAGAATCCCAGTATATACAGCTAGATAACATACTTATTTCTAAGTTTTTTCAAAGCCGCAATAAGGTAAAATATAACTTAACTGTAATGCATAATGTCATGCTTAAGCAGATGTAGAATTTATATCACATTGATGGAAACCATAATATGCTTCACAAAATCAATCATAACCCAATTAATATTTCAAAAATTCTAGTTTATATTTATATATTCTAAATCGGAAAAAATGCTCTTCAAGATAAAACAAAATTCAATCATTTATCTCAAATAGTTTCCGAGATATTGAGCCTTAAAGTTGAAACTTTATCTCAAATTTTGGAAAACCTTCAAAGCCGGTTATCTCGAAAACGAAGCCCTGAGGCTCGGTGCCTCAAATAACCTTTTCTGAAGCCCGAATCGAGATCTACAATTGCATGAAATTTCGTATCGATAGCTTCTCTTGTTTTTGCAATATGGCCCTTTGAAATATTTGAAAATGAAATTTCCTTAGAAAAATTTCAATTTTTATTTTTCTAAATTTTTCAATTTTTGATTTTACCAATCGAAAGAGGGGGTAAAATTTAGTGGAAAAGCATGCTGGTGATTTTTCTTCTCGAGGTTCTAGGGCCTGTAAAAAATTAAAAATGATTTTTACATTTTTTACCCTGACAAATTTTGATTATCCGACATTGTCTCACTAAATCGCTCATTATTCAATTAATATTCTAGATATTTTAACACATATCTATATGTTCTGAATCAGAATTAAATGCTCTTTACGATAAAATAAAATTGAATCATTTATCTCAAATAGTTTCCGAGATATTGAGCCTCAAAGTTAAAACTTTATCTCAAATTTTGGAAAATCTTCAAAGCTGATTATTTCGAAAACGAAACCCTGAGGCTCGGTGATCCAAATAACCTTTTTTGAAGCCCCAATCGAGATCTACAATTGGATGAAATTTCGTATTGATAGCTTTCCTTGTTTTTGAAATATGGCCCTTTGAAATATTTGAACATGAAATTTCCTTGCATACCCCTTGGAAAAATTTCAATTTTTATTTTTCTAAATTTTTCAATTTTTGACTTTACCAATCGAAAGAGGGGGTAAAATTTAGTGGAAAAGCATTCTGGTGATTTTTCTTCTCAAGATTTTAGGACCTGTAAAAAATTAATACTGATTTTTACATTTTTTGCCCTGACAAATTTTGATTATCCGACATTGTCTCACTAAATCGCTCATTATTCAATTAATATTCTAGATATTCTAACACATATCTATATGTTCTGAATCAAAATTAAATGCTCTTTAAGATAAAATAAAATTGAATCATTTGTCTCAAATAGTTTCCGAGATATTGAGCCTCAAAGTTGAAACTTTATCTCAAATTTTGGAAAATCTTCAAAGCCGGTTATTTCGAAAACAAAGCCCTGAGGCTCAGTGACCCAAATAACCTTTTTTGAAGCCCCAATCAAGATCTACAATAGGATGAAATTTCGTATCGATAGCTTTTCTTGTTTTTGAAATATGGCCCTTTGAAATATTTGAGAATGAAATTTCCTTGTATACCCCTTAGAAAAATTTCAATTTAGATTTTTCTAAATTTTTCAATTTTTGACTCTACCAATCGAAAGAGGGGACAAAATCAGGTGGAAAAGCATGCTGGTGATTTTTCTTCTCGAGGTTTTAGGGCCTGTAAAAAATTAATACTGATTTTTAAATTTTTTGCTCTGACAAATTTTAATTATGCGACATTCAGGCCTATGATGTATCCTGTCCTGTTATTTTAACGGCTAAATAAATAATAAATAGTTTCCGAGATATTGAGCCTCAAAATTGAAACTTTATCTCAAATTTTGGAAAATCTTCAAAGCCGGTTATTTCGAAAACGAAGCCCTGAGGCTCAGTGACCCAAATAACCTTTTTTGAAGCCCCAATCAAGATCTACAATAGGATGAAATTTCGTATCGATAGCTTTTCTTGTTTTTGAAATATGGCTCTTTGAAATATTTGAAAATAAAATTTCCTTGCATTAGAAAAATTTAAATTTTGATTTTTCTAAATTTTTCAATTTTTGACTTTACCAATCGAAAGAGGGGGTAAAATTTAGTGGAAAAGCATGCTGGTTATTTTTCTTTTCGAGGTTTTAAGGCCTGTAAAAAATTAATACTAGTTTTTACATTTTTTGCCCTGACAAATTTTGATTTTGTCTCACAAAATTGCTCATTATTCAATTAACATTCTAGATATTCTAACACATATTTATATATTCTGAATCAGAAATAAATGTTCTTAAAGATAAAAGAAAATTGAATCATTTATCTCAAATAGTTTCTGAGATATTGAGCATGAAAAATATTCTATATCTTCATTCATATTCGCTTTCACATAACAACTACGAAAAAATCTGACACAAACCTTTAATTTACATAACCTTGACGTGAATCTTATGCTGACAAAAAAATTATCTCAAATTTATATAAACTTTACGTAAATGTTATACTGGGGTTATCTTATCTCCGATCTCTGACACATTTATATAATTCGTTTTTTGTTTCAGGTTAAAGAATACGAACTTTCCGAAGTGTTCCATCACTCGGAAGACGACAGAAAGTACGAAGTACTGAAAATGGAACATTTGTCGGCTAGAAATGGCGACATAGAATCGACGGACAACAACGATATTCAGGTGGCCATCGAGGAAGAACGTCAAGAGCAAGAAATCCATCAGAAATCCAGACCCAAACCGAGAACAAAGACGAATAATTATTATTCGGCTAGTAATTATTACAAACAATTCGCCTTATCTACACCAACTAGTACTAGTACTAGTTCGAATCAGTTTTACAGTACCGATGGGAACAGTTTAAGTAATTCATTGTAAGTACCTACTGACTTATTTGTTCCCCATATAGCACAATCCATTTAATCCAAAAGTTAGGAAAAATCTACGTTATTGAACTTTCAGTCGAAATCCTCTATGCCTTTTCAAATATCTGAAACAATAAATCCCAGATAATAATGCGTCGCCCAGTTACGGAATGGCATTCATTCAGTAACCTCAACTCGCACACGCAAAATTCTCGAATTTCGACCCTCCTATATCCCAAGGGGATTGTACGAAATTCGTGCGCTCTCAATGCGGTTGCAATTTGCTCGCATTTCGAACTGAAATTCTGAATGCATGGAGTGACCTTTTCTTTTTTTGTGTTTGATTTGGATTTTAGTTGAAATTGAGGCTTTTTATGTCTGCAGGAACATTTTGTGTGGTTTTATCGTTAAATAATTCATCAAAGTAGGTAGCTAAAAAACACAGTTCAAACCTCAATAGTATCCATCGAAATTCTCTCTTTCATATAAAATCCAGCAAACCGAAACGTTGTTTGGCACATCCGCTAATCCCTAGTCGGTCGAACGGGCCGCCACGCTCTAACAAACTTCCAAACGTCCAATAACCATAATTGAGCCAAGCGATAATCGTTATTTACAAAATTCCGAACGTTTATTTAATGATGTAATTTTGTGTCGGCAGGCATCCGAACGACGTTCCGGTAACGTCCCCGGCTGGATTTCCGGCTGTGGTTCCACGCGGCAACAAGGAAGCTATACTGAGCAGTATTGCTGATTCGTATTTGAGCAAACAAGACGCGCAGCCGCAGAAAAAGTACAAGAAGTTTAAGAAGACGTCGAGGAAATATCGTAAGCAGTTTGTTGATATTATGTTACAATTCTTATAGCACTTAAAAACGTATCCAATCGGATATTAGAAGGTTCAACCAGGGTCAGTTGACAATATCTGGGTAACCATCAGAGGCATCGAATCGAATTATTTAAAAATTGTAGCTCTCATTCATTGAGTACTTCAATACTTCATTTACGAAATATTTCCATCACTTATGGTTTTTGTATTTTTTGAAGTTTTTGTAATCTCAGTAAAATTTCAACTCAATGATTTAAGCACTAGCAAACGTCAAACACATAACCTGTTACAAACAAATCAATGAGTTATTTGAACTTCAAGACAAGATAACCTATAGGGTCGTGGAATTCAAAAAATTAAGATAACGTGTAGTCCCTTTATGTGCAAATGGAACCACTCAAAATCCAACCAACAATAATTTTATTTTGTTTACAATGTTAGGTATATAGTAACATAGAGTAATAGGAAATGTTACTTTCTGTAAAATTTTAGTGTTGACAGCTTGGTTTTTTCCGGTGAATCTGATACCATGTACCTTTCCAATCCGGAGCTCTTCAATGGGCGTTGGGGTTCCACTTTCGTGAACTGGAGCTCTTCGTGTTGTTTCCTGTATTCAAGAAGAGGATAGATTGCTGGGGTGACGTCACTCCAGCTAATCTAGACTCCAAACAGTGATCTTAGTGGAGTAGATGCCTAGAAAAGAATAAGGCAGTTCACCAATATTTGGAATATTAAATCCCTGAATTGAGTGTCTTGCAAAGAAAATTTAATTTGAAATTTAACATAAAACTATTGTTGTACAGATACTCCCTTCCAACAGAATCAGGTATGAACAGAAAATGGCTATTCAGGCCTCTGCCTGGATTCAATAAAAAGTTGATAGGGATGGACACACAAATTTGGTTGTCACCGATTCTATTTAAAGCAAATGGTTCAATATTCCCACACTAACTATTGATTCTGAAAACCAGAGCAGCAGTACCTATTTATTAGTCCAAAAATCTGAATTGACTAACCTACCTCAGATAAACGTGGCAATACCAACCGCACAAAATGGAAGCCCACAATTAGATAAAAAATTAAAATATAATATTTATATTTCAAGACTGGATAAGATAATATTTATCAGGTAAAAACTTAATATTGATATGATAATATGCATTGATAGCAAAATATATTGAAAAATCTATGAGGGAGAATCCAAAAATATAGAGCAAAAATTATTAAAAATAGAAAGGACTCGCCTGCTAGACTACTATCGAGAAAAGAGAATGTTTTAGAAACCAAACCCCCACTGGAAAACGATCCTGTGTTTTTTTTATACTTAACTGCATTTTAACCAGTTCAACCAATCAGACGGTTTCACCCAAAAGATCATATTCACTTTACAATGAATAGATAAAAATCCACTAGAATTATTTTAATTGTTTACAAATTATAATAATTTAAATTAAGGTTATGTCAAAAATAAAAAACTCCTAATTAATTAGGTCATTAAGCCAAAAAATGATTATTCCAGAATCAGAAGTTAGAGAAAGACAGAAATATATCCATTTGCTAAAAGTGAGATAAATATAATTTCTTTCAATGAAAATACAGATGACTGTCACATGCGAAATAATTAAAATCATACTTTGAAAAATAAATCAATCAGGTACTAGATGGCAGTACCTTCATTTAATAGATATTTGCATCTTACGCACATGATGGAAAGATGGCAGCATTGGTATTATTTTGAACTTTGTGGCCATTTTTAGACTATTAGGAATTATTATTTTGCTGATTCTGAAATGGAAAAAATACTTTATAATGGAAATAAGAAGAGATGGAACCTCATTTTGGATCGGGGGACAAACAGAGCGTTTAAGTCATATTTATAACATACAAGCGCTAGCTATTTCAGGATCGACCCTGAAGATGGCCCTTCAATAGGCCGGAAGCGCTCGGTTGATATTCAATAAATTTTACACCACTACAAAAACTTTGCTTTTTCTTCAACTTTTCTGGTGTACTGGGTGTCCAAGATTTGATTGTTTTGGCGGGTTTTGGGTATTTCTGGAGGAGTTGGAAAAAATCTGATCCCCACTTGCGAGCCTCGATTTCCAAGAGAAGTTGACCGGTGAAACCCGCATCTCGATATCTCAATTCGTTTTTAAGCTACAAAAAGTTATAGACCCCCTGCCAAACTCCAAATTTTTCAAAAAGCCCTCGTAGCATAAAAACCACTCGACATATCGAGATGCGGTTTTCACCAGTCAATTTCTCTTGAAAATCGAGGCTCGCAGGTCGGGATCAGATCTTCTCCAACTCCTTTAGAAATACCCGAAATCCCCCAAAAACTATCGAATCTTGGACACCCTGTACATCGAAACCCCCCCTTCTAGCTATTACGTCACAAATCATCAGTGGCTGGGTTCGGTAATTGCATCTGCGAGCAAAATGAGCAAAATTTGACAAATGTCACGTGACTTGACACGTGTAAAAAGATAAGTGATCACGTGATGTTCGTCAAAATGTTCTCTTTTTGCTCGCAGATGCAATTACCGAACCCAGTCAGTCCCAAATCATATAACGTCATTTCGATTTCAGTCTCTCTCATTGCCTATTTACCTGCCTCTAGAGCCCCCTAAAAAATACTTGCTGAATATGTTCTTAAATTGAATAGGGCCGGACGCAAGGGCGTTTTCGCTACACTGCTCCCTCCTTAGGACGTGTATATGTTGGAGCTGTGATAAACGATAAAAGCAACGATAATAATGTAAAGTATCATGAGTATCGTTGCTTTTATCGTTTTTACAGCTCCAACATAAACACGGCCTTAGGTTGACCACCTTACTCCAATGAGAGTAAAAAAGAACAATTGATAAAATAAAAGATTAATAATATTAATTAGAACCTGTGCACGCCTATACCATGGTATACCGGGGCGGGTTTGTACAAAAATGTCACCCTAAATATAGTAAATTAATAATCATTGGTACAGTACACCCATCAGAATAATGAAGGCAGTAAAACAAACTTGGAAATGTACCAAGTTAAATATAAGAAATACTATTAATAATAATTTTGAAAAAATAATTAAGATACGTTAATAAATCAACGGGTACATCACCCCCTTGTAGTCCTTCCTGCAGTCTAAACATCAATTTCCATTACTGTCTCATGACAGCCTCACAGTCGTGATAACAGACCCCATCAACTTCTTGACTTCTCTTCTTAAATAGGGTAAATTACGGTTTCAGATTCAGTGTTGTGGGTACTCTGACACCTCACCTTCGAAACGTTAGCAAAACGTCGGAAGAGAAAAACCCAATGGAAAGGTAAAACCTAAAATCCTAAAAACCCTGGTTACAATTCGGGCTCAGTTGAACGAAACGTGCTCGCTTCTCGCACCGACAATTCAACAAAATGGCGTTGATTTTCGTCTCCAGAAAATTCTGAGTAGTTGGCTTACAAATACGGTTTTCACCCCAAAACCAATTAATCCAGCAATCACTTGAGTTCCCAACGCCTCTAAAATCCCACAAGAGGTGGATTTTCCAAGGAACGCAGCAAAGAGGACCACTGGTAAAATCTGCCAACTACTTGTTGCGAATTTAAAGAGAACGACCCTTTTTCGGCAATTTATTAGGTGAGCTCAATATGAAACCCAGAATTTAATTTATTTTTTTCAAGATGCCCTCTGGTGTCAGATTTCCGGCGTTGACCAGGGAAACGAGACAATCAGCTTGAAACGAACAACCCAAACCACACAAACAAAACTCAAAATTGTTATCCAATTTCCTAACACTAGTTAATTAATTCTAAATCCACTCGATTTTTATTCTAAAACTATCAAAATGACCACTCGCCCAGCGGTAGCAAACGTAGTAGCAACGCCCTAGCAACAAAGGTCAAGAAACATCGGCAACAGCGCTTGCTACACAGGATCAACAAGTATCCCATAACCACACTTATTCGGGGAAAATAAATAACCGGGAAAATGTAAATATTAGTGGAAATAAGGGTGAAAAAGCGATTTAAAGGGTGTGAAAGTGATCTGTGGTGTTGCAACATTTTTAATAATGGAAAATACGAGACCTTAGGCCGTGTTTATGTTGGAGCTGTGATAAACGATAAAAGCAACGATACTAGCGAAGCAACGAAATACAATGCCTGTGTTTGTACGCAGGTGTTTATGTTGGAGCGGCGAGTAGAGCAGCGCTTTTTTGTGAACCAGCGATAAGAGCGGCGAGAAGCAATTTTGTATATTTCTTTGCTTTTCTCGACTATGAGTGGACGAGTGTTTATTAAGGTTTATAATATTATTATTTTGCCTGGGTGAACGAGGAAGACAAGGGAGTGTCTTTACAATAGTAAATAATGCAACGATCATGTAATGATAACCATTAATACACGAGCATGTTGTAGAATACCAAAAAAATCTGTAACTCAGTTAATAATTAATCAATTCTATTTTTTCTTGGACTTTTTAGGAGCACCTAAAAAGCACCTAATTCTGATACAAAGAAAAAATTTGAAAAAATATTTTTTACTATAGGGGACTACTAGCTTTCATAAACCTAGCAATCCCTTAGTTTTTTTTGATTTTCTCAAAAATCAGAGGAGCACCTAATTTTTAATTAGAGGCCCTAATTAGCACCTAAAAAGCACCTAATTATTATATAGATCCCGAAGTTTTTTTTCCATTCTGACACACCAACAAGTAAACGTAAAGCCAGCAGTCCCCTTATAATTAAAAAAAAATCTGTAACAGTTAATAATTAATCAATTCTATTTTTTCTTCGACTATTTAGGAGCACCTAAAAAGCACTTAATTCTGATACAACAGAAAATTTTGGAAAAATATTTTTTACAATAGGAGACTACTAGCTTTCATAAACCTAGCAATCCCTTAGTTTTTTTTGATTTTCTCAAAAATCAGAGGAGCACCTAATTTTTAATTAGAGGCCCTAATTAGCACCTAAAAAGCACCTAATTATTATATAGATCCCGAAGTTGTTTTTCCATTCTGACACACCAACACGTAAACGTAAAGTCAGCAGTCCCCTAATAATTAAAAAAAAATCTGTAACTCAGTTAATAATTAATCAATTCTATTTTTTCTTGGACTATTTAGGAGCACCTAAAAAGCACCTAATTCTGATACAAAAGAAAATTTTGGAAAAATATTTTTTACAATAGGGGACTACTAGCTTTCATAAACCTAGCAATCTCTTAGTTTTTTTTGATTTTCTCAAAAATCAGAGGAGCACCTAATTTTTAATTAGAGGCCCTAATTAGCACCTAAAAAGCACCTAATTATTATATAGTTCCCGAAGTTTTTTTCCACCTTGGGACTGCTAGGTTTATAGACCTACTTCTGACTGTCTGCTCCTCGGTATTACGACCTGACTTCTGTTTTCTGTCCCATCTGGAGCCTTCACGATCCTTTTTAGGACTTCATCGTACAGTACCAAAGAATTCCACTGACTTAACCACCGGAGAATGATGCGCTACTTCCTGTCATGCTGGTCGTCGTCCTTCAATTTTCTTCCTATATCATAATCAAACTCTTGCAGCCTTTGAATCCATCAGGCTACCTGTCCTTCAGGGTTCTCGAATTGCAGGAGCCATTTCGAAGCAGCCTGGTCGGTCCTCAGTAAAAACTTTCTTCCGTAAAGGAACTTGTAGAAGTGTTCTACTCCTTTTATTACTGCCAGAAGTTCTCTTCTTGTAACACAGACGTTCTGATTTTTGATCAAGTTTTACTGAAGTAACCTTCGCCTCTCCCTATTGGATCTGAGATACAACAGCGCTTAGCCCCACATTGCTGGCCTCGGTATCTAAAATGAACTTTCCCTCTGAAAGCGGATATCCTAGAATGCGTGCTCTGGTTAACGCCTGTTTTAACTTCTGAAAAGATTCCTGGCACTCTTGGTCCCATTAAAAACGTCTTTGTCCTTCCGTGAGCTTGGTAAGTAGCTTAGCAACATTGGCAAATCCTTATACGTACCTAACACCGGTAGTAGGTACATATAGACCAAGGAAACTTGGAAGTTGATGCAGGTCTTTAGGAATTGGCCACACTTGAACTGCTTTCACTTTCTAATTATACATGGCTACTCCTGACCAGAGACTACATAACCTAGGTACTGAACTTCCTCTTGAAAACGATGACATTTCAAGAGGAATTCCCTAGTCTCCGCAGCACCTCTTTTAAGTTCATTATGTGGTTCTCAAACGATCTTCCGATCACAATGATGTCATCGAGGAACACTAAGCAAGTTGACCAGGATAAGCCCTTTAAAACAGTTTCCATGAGCCTTTTAAAGTTAGCGGGAGCATTACACAATCCAAATGGCATGACGGTAAATTGCCACAATCTAGTTTCGACAATGAACGCAGTCTTTTCCTTATGCTTTGAAGCCATTTCTACCTGCCAATAGCCGCTTTTCAAGTCCAAAGTCGAGAAAATCTTTAATCTAAAATTGTCCAGCGTGTCATCAATACGAGGAAGTGGGTAACTATCTAATACAAAAATATAACGTCAAATTATAGAAAAGTATTCGTGGAAAAACATATTATGAATGAAAAATTTGCAAAATAAGTTTCAACATATAAGGGTGGCTTATCTTCGCATGCAGAACACCGCCATGATGTCCCCTTTTCCCTTTTCCCATTTTCCGAGCATTGGCGACATCTCAAAAAGTAACTTTTTCTGCTGCAACCTTTAGGCAAGTTGCTATGTTATAAAAGTAATTGAGGTCTAATAAGGGAAGGTTTTGAGCATTCTCCGGGATTATTCATCGTTCCACTCGTGACTAGTTTCCGCTCATCTTTTACATCTGCTGAAATTTGAAGTAGGTACACCCTTTATGATAGCCTCTCGAAAAATAAGGAGGCTCATTTTCGATTTAGTGATCTCCCGATTAAGATCGTCTCGACTTCTATCTAGTATCGAAGAATCTTCTGCCAGTAGTACCCGGACCATTTCCTCGTTTTTCCCATGCAGTATAATTTCTTTAATATTTACCGCCAGAGTACCATTAAGCTTGCTACAGCTGAAGACCCAGAAAAACCCGTTACAAATTTGGCGCCCGAGCAGGGATCTACCACATTTTCAGGCGTCCCTGGATATATGTAAGACGAGAGAAGCGAGCAATATCGGTTTCAAATTCCTGCAAAATCTCGTTTGATTTTTGACATCTGTTCTTTAGCTGATTGATATACATGCTCTAAGTGGTTTTGGTCATACTTCATTTCTAAGTGCTATATCAATGAAGCGTAATCCTCTCTTTCCTGACTATTTCAAACGTAACAATATCAGGATCCTCACCACCTTGTATCAGAGCCGCAAGAAGTTTCTGTTTTAACTCGGTCTTTCTCCCACTTGTATCCACCTCACGCTCCTCTAGCTCTCTTTTAAGATTCGCTACTTTTAATTCACTTAAAAGCATCTTTTTTGTGGCCATTTTCAGCGTCTAAGTGAAGGTTTACTTTATTACAGTCACTACTTCTATTATTGTCTATATGTCTATTTCCAGTCTATGTGTCTTTTTTTCTAAATTTGCCACAGCATACCCGGTGAATAAAACATCGATAGAAATTTATCAAAGTTTAATAAAATCCTTTGCACATCATGGTACACCAAGTAAAATTACCACTGATAATGCACAAAAGTAATTTTGTACAAGACATCGGTGAAACTTATGATTGAATTGCATTTTACTACACCGTACAATCCAAATTCAAACTTGCCAATTAAAAGATTTCATTCAACGATAAAAGAAAGCATTATAGCCCTACGAATTGTCTATCGTAGCAAAACAGTTACTATAACTATAAACTATAAACAGTATTATATACCTACCACAGCAACCCCAAACCTGACACCGAATGTATTTTTAAATAATTGAGACGTTCAGAATGTGATCTTGAAGTTACAATGTACAATGTTATTTGAATTTTTACCAGTACTGTTTAACCCCAACATTCCCCTAGACATCCTATAACTGTTAGAAACGAATAGGGGAATGTAGGGAAATTCTTCCAATAATTGAGATTCTCTTGTTCTAGGTCCGCCTCGTGACTGTAGAGTGACGGAATGGTCCGACTGGAGCCAGTGCAGTAAATCGTGCGGTATCGGCGAGATGCAGCGCAAGCGCGAAATAGTGAAACACGCGAGACGAGGCGGTCGGCTATGTCCGGCCCTGACCGAAACCAAATGGTGCGGAAGCGCCCGATCGTGTAACAAAGAATATTTCAGTTGGTAATTGATCGTCACCCAAAAAACAATTAGATGTCAACTTGAATACATATCGTATGTCGTCTGATGTGGTGCCAACACAACAAAACCAAAAAAAAATTGACCAGTCCCTGTATATTCTATATGAGGTTCCAGCGAAAAAAAAAAAAACATTTATTAAAAAAAAGAGTATTCGACTGATATATTTGCTAAATACGGTGTGGTGTTTTTTCTTGTGTCCGTTAATTTTTTGGTAGAGACTATACATATATCGGATAAATGTTTCTATGATAGATAGATTTGTTAAAAAGAATTCTTCCAAATTTTTCGTTTTATAAGTAGACAATCAAATAATAATCTAGGGGTATCAAAACTGTCAACAGTGTCAGCCCTCATTAACATTTCTTCTTCATACAAAAAGTTCAGATCAGGACTGGTCTTTAACCTAGAGTTTTTTTCCTCAATGAGGAACTCACTAATTTATTTTTACTTTGTATAATAATAATTTTTTTTTAGTTAATTCTTAGCCAATTAGTTTATTTAACACTTAAATAACATATTTGCAAAATTTACATTGGGACAATAAAGTGCTCATCATTGATACCAAAAAATAAGTTTGGGTGGATGCAAGTTTGCATCCATCAACAAAGTAGTCTTTGCTGATATTAACAAATTTTTATATAACTTTAATGTAAAATATTATAAATGTAACAATTGTGTATAAAAATACTGACTCTTCGTACTTCGTACTAATGATAATTTGTTAATTGTATTTTGTTCGAGTGATAAATTCGATAAAAAGTTTAAAAAACATATCAAACAAACAATAAAATTGTATAAAAAAAAATGGTTCATTTATCACTCGAATTTGTTAGTTTTTCTGATGTTCTGTTAGTTTTTCCACTTAAAACAAAAAAAAAAATTCCGTTTAAATGTATTCTCTATGAATGAAATAAACGTTATATTTAGATAAAAAATGAGTTTTTTATTTTATAAGACCATATCCTTCCCTATCTCACGTACTGTCGTATCTCAATTTTACAGGAGGCACGATTTTATCTTTTCGGTGACATTCAACCATTTGTTGTAAGAATATGATTCAACATTATAAGATTTATTTTACCATAACTGAGAATACTCTAATAGGCATTCTATGGAATGGGAATGATGTTTGTACTATTTTATTAAGGAGCATCGAGACCGGTTGTTTAATCAACATAAATTTGAATTACATATTTCGAAATCAATCAACCTAAAATTTAATTAAGCCTGAAATTTCTACATATTATAAAATCCACAATTTGTTATAAATTTGGCAAGGTAATCAAAGTATCGCAAACCTTGCCCAAATTTAATAAAAAACCACGATTCATCATTTACGGCGTCAGTCACCTTAATTTCCGTAATGATACATCAGTGTAGCGCTAATCTTTTAATACCTGCCTAAACAAGGTCAACACACAGTTCATTGTTATTAGTTATGATAAATATAGTCAGGTTCAAGTTGAAATGTACGATATAAATAGGAACCAATTTGATTAATACAACCAGTATTGAACAATATTACTTGGGTACTCATTTAATTACGCAAATTAGTCATTTGTGATAATTATCCACAAAGTCCTTCTCAAGAGCTTTGTACTCGTTATTTTGGTTAAAGGTACCTAACTAGTGATCTTCAGGGAATTATTCCTGAACGTCACGCCCTGAGATACGTACCTTGGAGGCCTTACATCCCTCTAGTGAACTACAACAAAGGTCCCAGCTCTGTTCACCGGTGCAACAAACAGATTCTTGCTTGCGCCCATAATTTCATCATTTAAACCTGGAAACTTTTGGCAAAAAATTAAGAAAACTCAATCTCTTATACTTTGAATCAGTTTTCCCGCTCGAAAACGTCCTATAAAAGCGGAAAATCCGAAAAAAAAACAGCAAAAATTACATTCCAAAGCCTACTTGATAAAACTTAAGTTTTCGTTACTTACCCCCTTGGAAAACTTAGAAATTTTTGGCGGAAAATGAAGTCTCTTATTTTAAACAAGTTTTTCCGATTGAAAACGGCCTGGAAAAGCGAAAAATTCGAGGAAAAACTGGCTAAAATGTAAACACGTCAAATAAAAATAGCTGACTGTCAAAAGAAAAGTAGCAAATGACATTTCATTACAAGGCCTACTTGATTAAAAGCGACGTTGCCACATTTAAAATAGGAAAAAAATACATTTTAAGTGGTTTTTTTGTTTAAAATTTAGTTAAATAAGTTATTAATAAAATTATGGAAAATTCAACGAAAAACCGGCAATAAAAATATAAGCGCGTAAGCTATTTTGAAACAATAATGGAGCTAAACTCGTTTGTCACGAGATGGCGCTGCAATCGCGAGCCCCATAATCGAGTAAAATAACTAATTAGGACTTAATTAGGGCCTAATTAAGCTAAATTCCATCAAAATTAATATAATTATAAGCCTTTAATAATAGGTTTTAATCAAGTAAGCTTTGGAATGGCAATTTTGACACTTGACTGACAGTCGGCTATTATAAGTGAAAATTGCCAACGCGTTTTTATTTCAGCTTCCGATTTTTCATCGAATTTTCCAGTTTGCAATAGGGAAAAGTAGTCTAAAGTGTTCGGAAAAGTGTCGCAGTTCCAAATGGGTGTTTATTTTGCCCGGAAAACTGAATTTCCCAGCAGGGGCCACAGTTTAAGGGGTGAGTACCGAGAAAACTAATTTATTATAAAACAAAACAGAGGCTTTTGTGTGTATAATTTATAGTAATATACCGCGTGTGGCTAAATTCAGCTGGTGTAGGCACCGCCACCGTGGTGAAATGGTAGAAAAAACAGTGTTGTCAAATTAGACAGGGTTTGACATTAGCATGCATTGGTGAATTTAGCCACACGCGGTTTATGTTAGAATAGGCTTTTTTTGATCAAACAGGCCTTGAAGAAAGATTATTTTGGCAAAAAAAATTGTTTTATTTTTATGTTTCCCTATACCTACCAGGCTCAGAGAAAGAAGAGTTGAACATAATGCAAACCCCATTAATCAAGTAAGCCGGTAATACAGGTCCCTGTTACATAAAATTTTGATTTTTTTTCAAAGTGCTTCATATTTTGCTTCATGAATTTGTCAATCTTCAACCGATTTCTGCTTAATCAAATATGTAATTAATTATCATTGCAGCTTATTTGCATCTGCAAATTTGCAGTTCTGCAAATAAGGCCGACTTGCATATGTACTCTATTTGCAGAAACGAGCAAATTACAGAAAAAATCTGCAATTTCGTCATATTTATTGGAAAAAAGTGTTTGGGCGCTACTGATTTACCAGTTTTAAATGTCAAAATTGTCCAAGTGATTGCAAGGACTTACGGGACCCTTTCACCATGCGCAAATTTGCAGGCGACCTGCAAATGCATTCTGCTTCTGTATTACGAAAAGTCAGACTTGCAGGTCCTGCATCCTGCATTTGTATCTTGGTGTTGTAGAGCTTTTGTAATTCCAGGCTAAATTAGCAAGATAGGTAAAGTTTGTTTCACCATGGTTTGTACTTGCCACCAGCATTTGCCTTCCTTGTTTAACAAATAAAAATTGACTGAAACAAATTAATGACGTCGAAAACGTTTGTCGGTTCTTAAAACCTGAAGTTATTTATATTGAATTAGGCGCGTTTAGGACAAAAAAATTACTTAGTTAACTTTTAGTCATCTTTTGGCAAGCTATGTTCGCGCACCGCAATATGGCGTCCAAACAAAAAGTCAATTGTAAAAGGTTGTCTGATGATAACAAACAGATGATGTCATCAGGTGGTTCTCATGAAGATTTGCATTATGTTCAGGCATGCAGATGACGTCAGAAAATGTATCAGGCAACCCTTTTAAACAACCTTGATCCAATAGCTACTAATTCAAGATGGAGACGTGGGCATTTACATTCAATTCTAATTAATTGCAATCTGAAAGGGAATTGGATGAAAACGTGCCTTTACGGTTGTCAGATGTGTTATTCAATAATTCTTTTCACGTGGCTCCGGTTTAAACTAACCGGGTTACAAAACGGTTAGAGAAATGACATACCGTTCTCTAACCTACCACTCGAATTTGAGCGGTATGTTGCGGTTTATTAAACCAGAGCCACGTGAAAAGAGTTAATGTGTTATTCCCACGGCGCCATTTTGAATTTAGAGAACTTCAAGTTCAAGGATAATACACACTACTACTACAGGGTGGCCTATCCTAATAAGGCCTGTGTGTACCAAATCCCCCTCTTCCTCCCCAAGCCAAAATACCAGTTGTGACGTACGCAGCATTTTATTTCTCGCCTTGACGTAGGCTGTTTAAACAGCTGACGACTTAGTTATGACGTCGGCAATGGTGGCAGTCTTTAGAGTGTGTATTCTCCTTGCGTCAAGTCGCCCCATTCTTGAAGTTTTCACTGTTAGTTGAGACTGTACATATTTTAGTGTTAAGGATTTTTATCAACGTCAATTGACGTTTAGGCCCAGTTGTACCATCTTGGTTGAAAACAGAGTTCAGCTGAACTCGACTGGTACTTAAACTTCCCCATTTAATGTACATTGCTGTCAAAATTGACAGAGTTTGATTAATAGCTGACAGCAACGTATTTTAAATGGAAAAGCTCAAGTACCAGTCGAGTTCAGTTGAACTTTGTTTTGAACCGAGATTGTACAACTGGGCCTTTTAATGTATAGTTTTTCTGTCCAATTTCATGACTGGTCAATCGCTTGAAAACCCATGATTTTTTGGAACACTTGAAAAGTGTGGTTGAGACTGTGCAGATTTTAGTGGTAAATTTTTCTATGAACGACAATTGACAAATGGACAATACGTCATTTGTCAACCAATTGACGTTTAATGCATAGTTTTCTTGTCAAAATTAACGACAAACCCATTGAATACATCAAACGCGAAAAACTTGAAAAATGTGAAGCATTGTGCAGATTTTAATGGTAACAATTTCTATCAACGACAGTTGACACATAAAAAATACGTCAACGTTAACGACCGGACAATCGCTTGAAAACCCATGGTTTTTTGGAAAACTTGAAAAGTGTGATTAAGACTGTACAGATTTTAGTTGTTATTTTTTTTATCAACGACAGTTGACAGATAAGGAATACGTAATTTGTCAATCAGTTGATGTTCAATAATGTATAATTTTTCTGTCAAAATTAACGATAAATCAAACGCGGAAAACTTGGAAAGTGTGAAGCATTGTTTGGACTGCACAGATTTTATTGGTAAGAATTTTTATTTACGACTAATGTATAATGTGCGTATAATAATAATAGCTATCATAATTGACTCGTGGTATAATCTACTATTATCAACGACAGTTGACAGATAAAAGATAAAGAAGACATTATTTGTCAACCAATTGACGTTTATTGTATAGTTTTTCTGTCAAAGGTAACGACATTTGTCAATCAGTTGACGTTCAATGTATAATTTTTTTGTCAAAGTTAACGGTAAATCAAACGCATGAAACTTCGAAAGTGTGAACCATTGTTTGGACTGCATAGATTTTATTGGTAAGAATTTTTATCAACGACAGTTGGTTGACAGATAAAGAATACTTACGTCATTTATCAACTAATTATTAAGTCCAATTTGTCTTGAAATTGACGTGCTTGCCATGCGGCGACAGCACAGATCCATTTACATTGAAATAAATTTGAAGTTCACTTCGAAGTGTACTTCAAATTTGGGCAAGCTGCTTGCCGAGGGCAAGCAGAAATTTGTGAAATGTCAAATTTTTAGATTATTCATCATGAATCTCATAAAGTTCTGACGTTTTGACTTGAC